CCTGGAAACTTTCACTAAATTCATAATACAAACTTTAAAAAAAGAACAACTAAACTTTGAACCCTAACCAGACACCTTGAGGGGATGAGTTTCTGGACCTGGGTGTTCAGGTCCATAGTCTCTGGGGACACTAATATCAGTTGGCATGACGTGGTCCATGAAGAAAATGTTCTGCATCCCACTTTGGGGAGCAGTGTCTAGGATCTTCAAAGCCGGTGAGCAGCCATCTAAGTACAACTATTGGACTTTCCTCATCTGGAACAAAGAATAATGAAGAAAATCAAAGTCACAATGAACTGTTCTTTAGGCCCCCTGGGACCCCAGCCTCCTAGATCCTGAGACCAGAACTAGATGGTGCCTGGCTACCGCTGCTGAGCCCTCTGAAAAGTTCACAATAGGAGCTCCTAGAGAGCGTGTGAGAAAACTGTGGAGCAAAACTCAAAATCATAAAAAAGACCAGGCTTACTGGTCTAGTAGAGAGAGACTATGATTTTTCAGGCACCCTTCAAGCCTAGAACTGAACTCACCCTCAGGGTCAACTCTCAGTCAAAGATAGACAGGCCTATCAGGTGAACAGTAACAGCAGGGAGGTATGCACATAATAGAATGTTCAACCCTACAAGATCAAAAGGGCAGGCTTTGCCCACGGATAAAGCTTAAGCTGGCAGGAAGAGATGGGAAAGAAAGATGAAGGGTTAGGGTCAGCACAGATGGGGAAGTTACATTGTGAGGACTGCAGTCAGTGTTGCAAAACAATGTTTATGTATTATTGAATGGAAACCAATTTGCTCTATAGACTTTCTCCCAAATCAAAATCAAATTGAAAAACAAAATTGATATTCTGTCTTCTGACCTCAAAATTCTCAACAGATAAAAGCTTGTAGAACATAAATTCATATTCTGTCAGGTTTCTATGTTAAAAAATATATGTATATATTTGGTTCTATAAAATAACCAGTTTTGTAGATGGCTTAAAATTTTTGCAAAACAAACAATCATGATCTACTAATATCTAGGTAATAATTTTTTAACTACTTTATTAAGCCT